AGCGCCCGGTCTCCCCGCACCGAGACGTGGTCCGCACCGCGGCTCCCCTCCCGCCCCTGCTCACGGGCACCACGGCGTCAGCCGCCCGGCCTCCCCACGCTGAGCCACGGTCTGCTGTTTACGACGGGGAATGGCCGTGCCTCCGCCTTCTCGTGGCCTTTGTGAGGGTGTCACGAGGTGGCTTCTGCACACAGTGGGGCTCCATGTGCCACCCTCGTCCTGGGGGCTTGGCGAGGCCCCTGGCTGGGCCTCCTGGGAGCTGCCGTGCAAAGCGTGGCACTGCTTTGCGCCAGAAGGGGCAGGCCCCATGAGCTTCCAGCGCCGAGGGTCTGGAGCCCGGACTGTCCAGGCGGTGTCAGAGATGGGTGGGCAGACTGCCCCGGGGACTGTGGGGCTTTAGCCGCTGCGTGGAGGGGACCGTTCTCAGAGCTGCCCGCTTCCTGAGCTGGGGGCTGCAGGGAGCCAGCCCAGGTGCCCAGGTCCCCGGGTGGTTTCCTGGGTGAGGGGTCCTCACCAGCGGCCCCTTTTTCCTCGCAGACTCCAAGGGGCTCTCGAACCCGGCCGAGGTGGAGGCACTGCGGGAGAAGGTGTATGCGTCCCTGGAGGCCTACTGCAAACACAAGTACCCCGAGCAGCCAGGGAGGTGAGCCCTGGCTGCGGCCTCGGTCCTGCCAGGACCTCAGGAGCTCGGGTGCAGCCTGCCTGCCCGAGCAAGACCACCACTAGCTGTTAGGACACTTCTGTATAAATTAGGAGGTAGCGCTCCTCCTGGGTCGGGGGCAGCCTGGGTGGGGAGTACCTGGCATGTTCCGAGTGAGGATGGGGCACTCTAGGCCCCAGCATGCTTCACTGTAGCCCCACCAAAAAGATGGGTGCGGCGTCTGCACACAGTAGGTGCTTGTCCTCGTAGACGGTGTGGAGAAGGCTGTGCTTTCCGCCGTCTCAAGGGAACCATTAGAGGCAGGGCTTTGGCTTCTCACGCCTGGCAGGGTCGGATGCCAGAGCATAGTAGGTGCCTTGTGAAGGCCTGCGGAGTAGAGTGCTGTGGTCCCACTGTGGAGCGTGCCTCTCTCGCCTGCCTGGCCGAGCCCTAGAGGGCTGGGATTGTCCCATTTCCCGGTCCGTGGCGCCGGGAGCACAGTAGGTGGCTTCATGGTGTTCCGAGGCCCTTGTCGCGATTCTCCTCCCTCCCTGCGGAAGGGCATCTCCTGGGGGCCGCGAGGACAGCAGGTGCCCGCTCCTCGTCCGCCGGCTGGCGCACACACGGTTAACTGTGTCCGATAGCTGCTCAGCCCTCATCTGGTTTGGTTTAGAGTGAAACTTCCCGGATGGAGGGCGCAGGCCTGTTTCTCTGGCCGCCCGCCGCAGCCACCCGCCAACTCAGCAGAAAACAGCTCGCTCTCGGGCCCCATTCCAGGCTCGAGGCTGCGTTTTTGCCTAGAAACTGTGGGTAGCGTGGCAGTCAGCCACACGCGTTTGCCCCTGAAGTACCGACGCGGTTCGTAATTAACGAGGTCCCAAAGCCCTGCAGCCCCTTGAGGGTCCCTGTGGGGGGACCGGGCAGACATGGATGTCCCTGGAGGGACATCTGGCCCCGTCCCCACATGGCAGTGCCCTTGGCGACAGCGGCCGAGCCGGACGTCTCCCGCACCCCTCCTGGGGCTGGGCAGGGCTGGAGGGGTGTCCTGGGCTCAGGCTTCGCTCCAACAGAGCCATTTCTGGGAACGGGGTGAGCCTGGCTCGGGGGCATGGGGCGCCGGTGCCTTAGGACATGGCTTGCTCGGGCACAGACTCGCCCCAGCTCAGGGCGGCCGCACTTCCGGTCTCCCCCCTGCAGCCACGGCGTCTGCAGCCCGCTGAGGCGCCCTCCGGCCCCTGGAGGAAGCCGCGTGTTTTAACTCCCCAGAGGCCCGATCCGCCGCCCCAGGCTGTCTCTTCATCCCAGACGTCCCCCGGGGGGCTTCTTCCGGGGTCTCTGTGCCCGCCCCATGCTGTCCCGCCTCCAGGCCCCGCCTGGCTCTGTCCGCTGCCCGCTGGGCCCGCTCCTTCCTGTCGCAGCTCGGGCAGGGCCGTTCCCAGGAGGCAGCGGGGGCCCGGGTGGGAGGGGGCGGCCGCCCACGCGCGCTCACGCCCGTGTCCCGCAGGTTCGCCAAGCTGCTGCTGCGCCTGCCGGCCCTGCGCTCCATCGGCCTCAAGTGCCTGGAGCACCTCTTCTTCTTCAAGCTCATCGGGGACACGCCCATCGACACCTTCCTCATGGAGATGCTGGAGGCCCCGCACCAGCTGACCTAGGCCCGCCCCGCCCCGCCTGCGCCCGGCCGTCTGGACCGTGGGCCCAGCCCGGTCACTGCTCAGCCTGAGACGCGCTGCGCCCCCTTGTCGTTCTCCGTACTGCTTGTCTCTGGACCCGGCAGGGCAGTCGCTTTCCCAGGGCGGCAGCCGGAGTGGCACGAACTGGTGTGACCCCAGCCAGGCCCTTTCCCGGGGGAGCCCCGGGGGGCACGTCGGGCCCTAGGCCCCAGCCATGGAGCGTCAGCGGGCGGGAAGGGCCGCTGCTGTCTTCGGCGTTTCGGGCTGTTTGGAGTGACCCCCACCCCACTTTCCCTCCCGTCAGTGCTGGCGCCCGGCCAGCTCGGTCCCCGTCAGGACGATGGGACAGGTGGGGGGCTGGCGTCTCGTTGCAGAAGACCGTACTTGCTCCCTGGGGAGACGAGGGGGCCCTGGGCAAGCGGGTGTCCCCTCCCTTCCGGTGAGGGGTGAGCAGCCCCCTTTTCCAAAGACAGCCCGCCCCCCAGCCGCCTGGCGCCAGAGCTGGCCCCGCGCAGGGTTCGGGGTCCCTCGATCAAGCACGGCCTGCGGCCGGCCGCCCACCCGCCTTCTCCCTCTACCCACGTTGTCCTGTGTCAGCTTCCCCCACACGGTCGTGTGCTGCCCAGGTTCCAGGCGGCAGAGCCCTGGCCGCTCCAGCCCAGACCTCTTCAGTCTGTGAGGGGGCCGGGCTTGCCTCACGCCCCGGACGGCTGGCCTCCTGCTCTCGGCCTTCCCAGCGGGGCCCCTGCTGACCACTTGCGGGCAGAAGCCGTCCCCTGGGAGGCCCACGGAGTGGAGGGTAGGGAGCTGCTTCCCCAGACGCCGGTCCACCTGCGGCGCACCTTCCTGGGGAGGCCGATGTGAGAGCCAGCGGGACTCGTGGGCACGGTGGGGAGGGCAGGTGGGGCCGCAGCCTGCAGTGCCCTCTGCGGCCTGGCTGACTGTCTGGAAGATTCCTGGGGTCAGAAGCCGTTGAGTGCCAGCCTCCTGGGCCGGGGGCTGGACACCCTTGGGAGCGGCCACTCGCCGTTGTCTTTCCTGGGTGACAAGGCTTTGTGTGGGAGCGCCATCTAACACCTGCCCTGGCTGAAGGCTCTGCGTTCAGCCCAGCACCCACTTTTCGGCCGGGCGCTCTGGGCCCGGGGTGGGGTCTGGCGGCCTGCACTGGCCCCTTTGCACTGTAATCCCTGTGCTGAGTGCTTTCCGTTCCCACGCCTCACGCCCCCGAACCCAGCGTTCGTGAGTAGCAGGGGCCTACACAGGGGCAGCGAGGGGCGTGGGGAGGGGTCCTGTCTGCTCAGCCTGACAGCGTGCTCTGTAACGGGTGGTTCTCCCCTCCACCGCCCCTCCCTAGCAGCCCTGGATGGGGTCGGGGGGCTGCCCCCCCCCAAGGTCTATTTCCCCAGGCGGTGCAGGGGCTCTGTGAGACCCCCGGGGCTGGGCGGGCAGAGGCAGGCCTCCTGGCCTCTGGGGAGATAGCATCCTTCTTGACTCTCTAGTCCCCAGCCAAGCTGAGCGAACGAGGGGCCCCTGGGCAGAGGACAGGATGACTCCCACAGACTCGCTTCCCCAGACGCCCCTGCCACGTGGGCCCTCCCCTTTGTCCAGGGCCTGGCGTGCCAGGGCCTCCCCCCAGGCTCTCCCTCAAAGTCTCGGCAGCCTCCGGGGACATTGTGATAGGCAGTGTCGCAGGCACTCTCAAGGCATCCCCTTTGCCTCTCCCCCCGGAAGTGGGAATATTAAATGGCCCCATACCCAACACCCCTGGTGCCTTCTGCAGCCAGATGCACCCCGCCATTCATGCCCAGCCCCTCCTGCTCCCCAGGCCCCCTGGGGATGTGGGAGGCTCCAGTGCAGAAATCCCAGGTCGAGGCCCTGGCTGGCAGTCCGTAAAGCGCCGAGGCCCCACCGGCCGGCCCAGCCCCTGCAGCCCCCTGCGCCGTGGCCGCAGGCTCCTGGCAGCTGTCCCTCCCTCGTCTCTTCGGTCTGCGGTCACCCTCGTCACACGCGCAGTGCTGTTTGAGCGACACGTGGGGAAGTGGCTCATTACTCAGTAGAGAGAACGTGTTTAACCAGATCTTCAGTAGCATTGCCAATCTGGTTCAATTAAGGTGATTTTTTTTTTGTAATTATTATTATTATTACTTTGGTGGGACAATCTTTAATTTTCTAAAGATAGCACTAACATCAGCTTGTTAGCCACCCCATGCTCGTCCCCGCCCCGGCCTGGCTGGACGACACCTGGGCCCCGGGCCTGCTGGCGCCTCGCAAGTTGCTCAGCAGCCACCCCCCTCCCCACACTTACATCCAGACGGGGCTCCCGTGGCCGGGGAGTGAAGACGGCCGTGCCTGCGGTTGGAAAATGTTGGCAGAGCCAGGCTCTGGCTTGCCTCCCCACCCTCGGAAGCTGGCTGGTCGGTGACATTCACCGAGATGGCCCCCATGTCACCAACTGTCACCTGGAAGCACATGGTCGGCGGGGAGGACGACCCCACACCCCGGGTTTCCCAAGCCTCGGCGTTCGCCAGGGCTTCGGGCCGCCGGGCCGCCGGGCCGGCGGTGAGTGCTCCAGGCCAGGCTGGGGCTTCCTCCACCGCGGGGCCTTCGGGGGCCCGGCCGGACCGTGCAGCCGGTGGGTCATCGGCTGACGTGGTCCCCATCACGGAATTCGGGCGCGTGGCATGGTCCCTGCCCACGCAGGTGTGCGTGTAAGACGCGTGTGCCGGACCGGAGCTGCACGGAACTGCACGGCGCACGGGCGGCAGGTCCCAGTGTTTTGTGTTTATTTTTAATCAAGACTATTTTTTCCTGTTTTCCTATAAATTTGCTTCGTGTAAGCAAGTACATAAGGACCCCTCCTTTGGTGAAATCCGGGTTCGAATGAATATCCACGCGAGGAGATGCATCTATTTTAAGATGCTTTGGCGCAGACAGCTTTAGCGGCTTCCAGCCCTTAGCCATGCCTTAGCCGGGATGCGTAGCTAACCCTTCAGGGGATGACACATACACAGAGAGTAAAGATAAGAGAAAATGTCTAAAGCATCGGGAAAGGTAAAAAAAAAAAAAAAAAAAAATCTATTTTTGTACAAATGTAATTTTATCCCTCATGTATACTTGGAGGGTGCGGCGGGGTGGGGGGACTGGTTCTGTTTCTGCTTCTAGAGATCGAGGTCAGAGTGTCCTCGGTGACACGCCGGGACGCGAGGCGGCGGAGGACGGGGCTCCGGGGACCGGCTCGCGCGGCCCTGTGACATCGCGGCTCAGAGCTTTCCCGCGGGGCCCGAAACGTTCGAGGCTTTTCTCCCCTCTCCGAGTAACACGACGGCCTCGCTCTGTTCTGCCCGTCGCCAGCAGCCTCCTGACTCTGACTCTGAAGTCACTTCCCCGTGCGACGTTCTGTGCGTCGGCCACAGGTGTCTGGGGTGACCGACAACGGTGTGCGAATTGTGGAAAAGAAAAACCGTGAGGAGAAACAAATATGAGCGTTTAAAAATACACCACCCTCCGGTGCTCGTCTGTTCTGGTGGGGGTTGCTGTTTGGGTCTGGAGGTCAGCCACGCGAGGGGGCTTCTGGGGGCTTCTGGCCGCCCCGGGGTGCGGGGAGGGCCTGCTGCCCCGGACCTGACCTGGGCTGGATCTGCACAAGGCACCTTAGCTGCCCCCCGGTCAGTAGTGGTGGCCAGTCCAGGGCAGGGGGACTCCAAACTAGGCTACCTTTGGCTGCTGCTTGTCCAGGTCTGCTCTGCCCCACAGCTGTCCTGGGAATCCCCTCTCTGGGGCCCAGGGCTGGTCCAGTGACCGCCAGAGAGGGCCCCTCAGCACCTGTGGGCACGTGCCCTACCCCAGGCTGCCCCAGCCCAGCCCCACTACCCACACTGGCCCGAAAGGGCAGGAGGCTCACACACGGCCACCAAGTGAGCGATGTCGTCTAACTGCCCCACTAACGCTGAGGGCGTGACACCCATCCATCCGCTCCATCCCGTGCGATGAGTGCTTTTAGACTCCACGCCGTCTGGGCCTGGGCTGGGCCTGAATCCTTCTGCACCTCTGTCCAGGCGGCCCCTCCCAGAGAGGCTCTGGGCCCTCTGGAGCTGGGAGCCTCGAGGGCCTGGGTCCCGTCCCAGGGTGCCAGACAGATGGCATGGGGGTGCTCCCAGCTCGGAGGTGGTAAACCTTACAGCTTGGCTTAGAAGGCGAGGCTGCCCTGATGAACCCCCCAGAACATGTTCACACACAACATACGCACACACTGACATATATGCTGTTAACCCCCACACTGTCAAACACACATGCGCTCACACAGGCCACACACACACACACCCCGCCTCCCTCCCGGGCATGGGTTAGCCTCAGGATCCCGGACCGTGGATCATTCTGGGAGCAGTAGACGGGAAGGGGGGGTGCCTCTCGGGCCTCAGGAATTAAAGGCAGGACCGAGCAGGCTTCCCATGGGGGAGTTGGGACCCCTACGCTTACATTCTCCCCCTTCTCGGGCGATGTCAAGGGGGTGGCTGCACCCCGAACCTCTGAGCCTCTGCCTGGGCCCCGGCCATGGCTGGACACTGGCCGCTGGCTACATTCGACTCTGCAAACACAGGAACAATCCGTCGTCTGTTTAAGACCCGCGGCTGGGCCTCTTGGGGCCACACGGCTGCCTTAGGTGGGGGCTGTGGCCTCTTCACCAGAACCCAGCGGGCCTCCTGGGCCGGGGTGGTACAGGGGGACACAAGCCGTCTGAGGCATTGGCCTTACTGTCACCCACGGCACAGCCCCGCTGGCCTCTGGGCATTGCTGGGACTGGCCTGCTCTGGTTTCTATTCATAGAAACTGCCATCCACCAGCTGTGGACTTCTTGGGGGGCCTGGAGAATGGGGGTGCCTCCCAGTTGAGAGGCCTCACCCTACCTTCTACATGCCCAAACCCTCTGCTGAGTGCGCTGCATGGAACTCTGGTTCCTGACGATCCTCCCGCGAGCAGGCCCCAGCCCTGGGCACGGCCTCCAGGTGAACGAGCTTCCAGGGCATGGAGCGCAGGGCCGGCCCGGGTCCCCGCGGAGAGCAGGCTTCGACAGCTGTTGGGTCCGGGAGGGCCAGGAGCAAGGGGTCCCGCCCTTGGTCCCGGAAGGGCAAAGCCACTGTTCCCCGATGAGCCACATGGAGGCAAAGCCACTGTTCCCCGATGAGCCTGGGGAGTGCCGAGCTGTCTGAGATGGTTGGGGGCCTGGGCCAGAGCAGGGCGATGACCAAGATGGTCTCCACGGGGATCACTGCCGTTCAAGCCCCGGATCCTCTAACATTCTCCAGGACACAGGCTCCAGGGGGCCACACCCGGGGTGGCATGCTTACCTGGGGAGGGGCCAAGGGCAGTGAATCCAGGTGGGCAGGGCTCCAACACCCCACTTCCTCGACGGGGACCCTGGTGACCCCCCAGGGACCGTGCTGCTGAGTCCCACCAGTTAAGCAAACACCCTGGGCTGCCCCTGGGCCTTGCATGGCAACCTGGCCCCAGGCCTCCCTGCTGCCTGCGGTTGCCATGGCGACACCTAACCCGGTCCCCCTGGACCAGAGATGCTGGGCTTGATAAGTTTATCACTGGGAGATCAGGTGGTGATAACCAAGCCAGCAGGGCTTGGGGTTTGTAACTTGAGAGGCGAGGGCGGGGCAGAGCCCGTTGGAAGGGACGCTGCTGAGTACCCAGTGAGTACCCAGTGGACAGCACGGTGGCCCTGTGCTGGGTGCCTGGAGCCCAGTGCCAGGTCAGGGCAGGCCTTGCTGCCGAGCGGGTGTGAGGAAGGCATGCGTGGGAAACGGGGCACCCTGGACAGTGGCCCTAGGACCCAGCAGAGGACACAAAGGACAGCGGAGCGGGCATCGTCCCTGGGCTCGAGGGCCGCAGCAGCCAGAGGGACGGGAGCCCGGTGGAGGGGTCAGGGAAGGGGGTCCTCTGTAAGGCTCTCAGGCCCAAGCCCCCTAATGCCCAACGGTCTCATCTGTCCCCAAGCTCGGAGGCTCCCCCGCTGTGGTAAGGACGGATCCCGCCCAGGACAGGAGAGTGTCCCCTGCCAGCAAGGGGGGTCCCAGCCACACTCGCCATAGCCCAGCTCGGAGTCGAGGAGGAGCGGCCGTGGACTGTCCCGTCCCTCCTGTCTCGGGGGCATCCGGCCGCCGGTGGCCTCTCGCTCGGCGTGTCGGCGTGCCTGGCCGTTCAGTCCAGCGTTTCCACCCTCCCTCCACACAGAACCTTCCACGTGAACGCTCCAGAGGACCCAGGGGAGACCGTGGGCCGCCTCCCTGGGCGGCCTCCCTGCCACGTGCAGACCCCAGGAGTGCCGTGTCCACCTGGGGCCCAGAGGCAGGGCTAGCCCCGCCTGCGACAGACCCCCTGGGTTACGACGGAGCCGCTGGGGAGCCCCAGGCGTGAGGCAGCACTGCCCCCTGCTGGCGGCGATGAGACAAAGCCCACCCGTCCTTTCTGGTCCCTTCATCTCCCTTCTGTGGGCCCTCTCCGCAGCCCTACAGCCGCCCCCGCCCCCACTCCCGGCACACTTGAATCACGGGGAGGTTTACAGGACTGACTGACGTCCAGGACCCCCAGCCAATTAAAGCAGACCTTCTGGGGTGCAGCAGGCACAGGCGCTTCGTGAAGACGCTGTGCAGCCCTACTGTGTGCTCAGCCTGGGGCGAGAGGTGGGGCAGGTCCTGTTCTCTCAAGGTCTCAGTCTCCCCTTCCCCACAATGAGGACAGAAGTCCCCATGTCCCAGAGCCTCTGTGACAAAGGTGTACAAAGGCCCGGTCAGCCAGCAAACGCTCTAAACCTGTCACTAACTGCTTTGCTTTGGTGGGAAGAGGCCACGGCATGGGGAAGGGGAAATCCAAGGGCCGGTCAGAGTGGACGTGGGGGCCTTTGGGAATCGCGGGAGGGGACCTAGTCCATTCATTCATTCATTCATTCATTCACTGGACAAACTTATCAGGCCCAGGCCCCGCCCTGAGGGACTGGCTACTCCAGGAGGGCAGGAGGGCAGGGCAGAAATTCCCCCAGGGCCTGGACACCTCCCCCTGCTCCCTCCCCCACCCACCTGCAGTGCAACCTGGGCACAGCCATCCCTGACCCTGAGCCTCGGGCCCCATCTTGACCCCCGGTGGCCCTGACAGTGCCCGCAGAGCTGACTGTGGAGTCTGACCCAAGGCCTGTGAAGCATGGTGCTTGGCACACAGTGGGGAGTCCGCTTCCGCCTGTGGGATCAGCGTTGGCTCCAGGGTTTACAGGGTAGAGGCTGGTGGGGAGCTTCCAGGTGAGTGGCCAGAATGGCTGCATTTGCTGGTGCCGTCCCTGGCCGCCTTGCCTTGGGAGGTGATGGACTGTAGCGAGCGTGTGCTGTGCGGACTCAGAGCAGAGAGTGCTTATCTCACCCAAGGTGATTAGCCCGATCGCTCAGGTAAGACACGTGGTGAATGGAGGTGACGAATGGAGGTCAGCTGGAGCAAGGACCAGACCCCCCGGCTTCCGGGCAGCTCTCTGCAGGGAGCCGGCCCCAGTGTCTTCCTCTGAGAGACTCACAGCCGTGGGGACGGGGAGAGGCTGTGCAGACACCTCACAGCGGCCTGAGGGGCACGTGCAGCCCGCCCGGCCACCCGCTCAGAGCCCGGGCTGCTGAGAGGGGCAGGCGGGGCCCCAGATGTTGGCTGGAGCTGCTGGGCAGAGACACCGGTGGGCCGGAGCCCCTGGGGTGGCCGGGTTGGGGCTGGACAGTGGGCTCTTTAGACCCCCCAAGGCCACTGAGCGTGTGGGAAGGGGTGAGTCTGGGCAGGGGCGAGGCTTCCTCACCCTCAGAGGCCCGGGGCCTCCCTGGAAGGCTGTTTGGCGGTTCTTCTGTCTGTCTGTCTGTTTTGGCGAGGCGACCCTTGGTTGACCTCAGATTGCAAGGACCTTGTCAGCTTACAGTCCCTTATTTTTTTATTTTTCACGCCTACAGCACCTGGTCTTCCTGGGTGGTCTCCCATCCAAGTACTAACCAGGCCCGACCCTGCTTAGCTTCCAAGATCAGTCGGGATCGGGCTTGTTCGGGGTGGCATGGCCGTAGATAATTTGTTTGTTTATAAATGAAGCTAGACAGCGTCCAGCAAGTGTGTTCCCAGGTGCTTATGCCACTGACTTGAAATCATAGGGCCCCCCACAGCGTGCGCGCGAGCATTTCTAGCAGCTTCGCTCATACTCGTTGAAATCTGGAAGCCACCGAGATGCCCCGGGTGGGAGCACGGGGAAGCAGGCGGTGGGCCGTCCGACAGCGGGGTGCGTGCGGCGAGAAAAGACACGGATGGGTCACGAGGTCGTGTCGCAAAGTGGGAGAAGCCTGAGGAAGAAAAAAGGCCACACGCCGTGCGACCCCATTCACCGGACGTCCTGAAGAGGCAGAACTGCGGCCGCCCGGGGTTCCAGAGGGGGCAGGAAGCGTGGGGGGACGCGGAGGACTAGTCTGTGCAATGCCGTCACG